TGTATATGTAGATTGTGCTCTGTATATGTAGATTGTGCTCTGTATATGTAGATTGTGCTCTGTATATGTAGAATGTGCTCTGTAGATGTAGATTGTGCTCTGTAGATGTAGATTGTGCTCTGTATATGTAGATAGTTGTGCTCTGTTTTTGTAGATTGTGCTCTGTATATGTAGATAGTTGTGCTCTGTATATGTAGATTGTGCTCTGTATATGTAGATAGTTGTGCTCTGTATATGTAGATTGTGCTCTGTATATGTAGATTGTGCTCTGCATATGTAGATTGTGCTCTGTATATGTAGATAGTTGTGCTATGTATATGTAGACAATGCTCTGTATATCTAGATAGTTGTGCTCTGTATATGTAGATAGTTGTGCTCTGTATATGTAGATTGTGCCCGGTATATGTAGATTGTGCTCTGTATATGTAGATAGTGCTCTGTATATGTAGATAGTGTTCTGTATATGTAGATTGTGCTCTGTACATGTAGATTGTGCTCTGTATATGTAGACAATGCTCTGTATATGTAGATAGTTGTGCTCTGTATATGTAGATATTTGGGCTCTGTATATGTAGTCAATGCTCTGTATATGTAGATAGTTGTGGTCTGTATATGTAGACAATGCTCTGTATATGTAGATAGTTGTGCTCTGTATATGTAGACAATGCTCTGTATATGTAGATAGTTGTGCTCTGTATATGTAGATAGTTGTGCTCTGTTTTTGTAGATTGTGCTCTGTATATGTAGATTGTGCTCTGTATATGTAGAATGCGCTCTGTATATGTAGATAGTGCTCTGTGTATGTAGATTGTGCTCTGTAGATGTAGAATGTGCTCTGTATATGTAGATTGTGCTCTGTATATGTAGATTGTGCTCTGTATATGTAGATTGTGCTCTGTATATGTAGATTGTGCTCTGTAGATGTAGATTGTGCTCTGTATATGTAGATTGTGCTCTGTAGATGTAGATTGTGCTCTGTATATGTAGATTGTGCTCTGTATATGTAGATTGTGCTCTGTATATGTAGATTGTGCTCTGTATATGTAGATAGTTGTGCTCTGTATATGTAGATTGTGCTCTGTATATGTAGATTGTGCTCTGTATATGTAGATAGTTGTGCTCTGTAGATGTAGATTGTGCTCTGTATATGTAGAATGCGCTCTGTATATGTAGATTGTGCTCTGTATATGTAGATTGTGCTCTGTAGATGTAGAATGTGCTCTGTATATGTAGATTGTGCTCTGTATATGTAGATTGTGCTCTGTATATGTAGATTGTGCTCTGTATATGTAGATTGTGCTCTGTATATGTAGATTGTGCTCTGTATATGTAGATTGTGCTCTGTATATGTAGAATGTGCTCTGTATATGTAGATTGTGCTCTGTAGATGTAGATTGTGCTCTGTAGATGTAGAATGTGCTCTGTATATGTAGATTGTGCTCTGTATATGTAGATTGTGCTCTGTGTATGTAGATTGTGCTCTGTATATGTAGATTGTGCTCTGTATATGTAGATTGTGCTCTGTAGATGTAGATTCTGCTCTGTATATGTAGAATGTGCTCTGTATATGTAGATTGTGCTCTGTAGATGTAGATTGTGCTCTGTATATGTAGATAGTTTTGCTCTGTTTTTGTAGATTGTGCTCTGTATATGTAGATAGTTGTGCTCTGTATATGTAGATTGTGCTCTGTATATGTAGATAGTTGTGCTCTGTATATGTAGATTGTGCTCTGTATATGTAGATTGTGCTCTGCATATGTAGATTGTGCTCTGTATATGTAGATAGTTGTGCTATGTATATGTAGACAATGCTCTGTATATCTAGATAGTTGTGCTCTGTATATGTAGATAGTTGTGCTCTGTATATGTAGATTGTGCCCGGTATATGTAGATTGTGCTCTGTATATGTAGATAGTGCTCTGTATATGTAGATAGTGTTCTGTATATGTAGATTGTGCTCTGTACATGTAGATTGTGCTCTGTATATGTAGACAATGCTCTGTATATGTAGATAGTTGTGCTCTGTATATGTAGATAGTTGGGCTCTGTATATGTAGTCAATGCTCTGTATATGTAGATAGTTGTGGTCTGTATATGTAGACAATGCTCTGTATATGTAGATAGTTGTGCTCTGTATATGTAGACAATGCTCTGTATATGTAGATAGTTGTGCTCTGTATATGTAGATAGTTGTGCTCTGTATATGTAGATTGTGCTCTGTATATGTAGATTGTGCTCTGTATATGTAGAATGCGCTCTGTATATGTAGAAAGTTGTGCTCTGTATATGTAGAAAGTTGTGCTCTGTATATGTAGATTGTGCTCTGTATATGTAGATTGTGCTCTCTATATGTAAAATGCGCTCTGTATATGTAGATAGTTGTGCTCTGTATATGTAGATAGTGCTCTGTGTATATAGATTGGGCTCTGTAGATGTAGATAGTTGTGCTCTGTATAGCAGGAGATTCACTTTAAGTGGGACACTAGTAATTATAGCCTCCAACCAGGAAGTAAACTGTGACGCACACTCAGACATAAGCACCTCGCCTGTTTGTTCACGTGACGGTAGCCTGTGTAGAGTTTGTTTACAGCTGCACTAAATGTGTATGGATGTGCATCTTTGAGAACTGCAAGTCCTGCGTTAGAAGACACATTTTAGTGTAAATACATTGCAAGCGATTCCATGGCATTTGGTTAACTAACCAAGCATCATATGTTGCCTTCATGTTAAGATAATTGGGGGATTACTGCTTCCCGACTGACTGATAACAGGATGGGTGGGGCGTGTGTTGCATTATTGCGCTGAAACACGTCACTGATTTAGTATTGTTCTCTCTAGGTTTTTTATGATAATGATTAGAAAACCAGTCTGTGAACTCTTAATTTATAATGATGATGGATGGATGGATGGATGGATGGTGGTGGTGGTTGTGGTGGTTGTGGTGGTGGTGGTGGTGGTGGTGGTGGTGGTGGTGATGGTGATGATGATGATGATGATGATGATGGATGATTGATGATGGATGATGGGTGATGGGTGATGGATGATGATGATGATGATGATGATGATGATGATGATGATGATGATGATGAAGATGATGATGTAGATCAAGTAATGAATTTAATGAGACTGTCCAACACATTGTCAGTGGATGCCCAGCTTTGGCACAAACATAGTATCCTAAGAGACATGATGGAGAGGCTCGATCATTGCATTACCGTCTGCGCAATGCTTGTGGTTTTGACTTAGAGGTCAATCTATGGTAAGACCCGGAATATGTAGAGGGCGTCATGGAAAATGATAAATACAAATCCTTTGGAATAGGCCCGTATCCAGCCTCAGACCTATCCAGGCCAACACACCTGATCTTGTCCGTTTTGATAAAACCAATGAAATCATTTACATTATTGAATTTTCTGTCCCGATTGACACTAATGTGATTGACAGGATTCAGGATTCATGGCAAATATGCAGACCTCGCTTTCGAAATGTCACGCTTGCATCCCAAGTACCAAGTTGTCCAACTCCCCATTGTTTATGGTGTAATGCAGTAGGCTGCAGTATTGGGGAGTCTTCACATTCTCCGAAGCGTTCTGGGTGGGTTTGACTAGGCAGCGCTTCCTGGGAGCAGTCCCATTCGCTGTCTGGGCTGCGTATAGAGGGGAGGGGGCAAGGGGCTTGAGCTGATGATGAGCCTATTGCAGCCTGACTGTGCCAGGATCACCAAAACCCTCTTTGCTGCATTTTTTTTATCTCAATCTGTACATAATAATAATAAGTACAAAGCGACAACACCCTTTCCGAATCCAATAGAAATCTCTGCCTAAAGCAGAGTCGATTGTACGATTCCGACTATATCATGAGCATGTGTTTATGAATTACTATCAAATAGTAATGATACCAGGTGTTCGCGAAACGGTGAGCGTATACTGCCCCACCGATGGCACCCGCCACAAACACATGCAACGGCAAGTCAATTATTCACCTGACCCAACACGGAAACATATGGTACAAGTCAAATAGGAAATTGCAGCGGACATCATTTTTGTCACTGTTGCGTCAAATTTGGAAATGTCCTCCACTTGTCTATCATAAAACTTTTTGAATGTTTTTCTAAGGCCTTTAATGGTGTAGCCTTGATCAAACAACTTCTGAGCAAGAGTCGTATGACGCTCTTGGTAATCTTGGTGGTATGAGCATGCTCGATTGTGTCTCATAAGTTGTGAAATGTGAACACCAAAGACTGGAGCTGTATATAAGAAATGACTCCTTGTTTGGGGTTTCTTACCCACTTCGCGAACACCGGAAGGCATCACTGATTTTCAGTTGTCCATTCACAGAACTTCCAAATGTACATTGCCTTTTATGCCCAATGGAGCCCATTTCGGGGGATAATCCAAAAACTAAACTGGAAATATCCAAAACAAAAACAAAAAGGTCAAAAACGAAAATGAAAATGTGGTGGAAATAGTTTTCTGTATTTTCATTTTAGTTTTTGACATTTTCGCTTTTGTTTTTGACATTTTCATTTTAGTTTTTGACCTTTTCGTTTTTGTTTTTGACATTGCAATTTTAGTTTTTGACATTTTCGCTTTACATTTCAGCGATTCAATAGCTACCTGAAAGTACATTTTCCGTGTTTTCGGTTGTTTTTATGCACGATTTATCACATATTTGTAATACAAATTGTCTTAATTTGCGAAAAGTTACGATAAAAGTAAGTGAAATATCAAAATATTGAAAAACAGACTCCATGCCCCTTATGGGCCACCGCAAAACGGATTATATTCTGTGGTGACGTTTTATATTCATTATTAACCTGAAAACCGGTGTGTACACTTTGCCTAATTCAGTTACGCCACGCTTATTTACACATTGTGCACTCCGGCTTTTATACTTCCCAAAACTGAAAGCATACCGTAGTAACAAGTGACAAGGAGGACATAATACTTCAGTCCTAACGGTGTCACAGTGAACACATGTACAGACTCTTGATTCAAGTGAAGAAAATTGATAGTTAGGATATGTACTTCCTGACAGAGGGCGTTGGGAACAAACAAGGAAGTTATATCACATAGCAGGCATTGTTATCTCGATAGCCCACACAGTCGTCAAACAACCGGATAACGAGGATATCTACCGAGCGGTTGGTACGACGGTAAGTGATGTGGCACTTGTTTCTTCATGTAGTTTTCAGTCTCTGCGTGATACGGTTGATATTGATAAGAACAATTCAAAGACGGAAAGGGGAAAGCAATTCTGGGATTTTAACGACTTTATCTATATTTCCAATTGTTTCAATTCACTGATTGTAACAGTTTTACGTTGCTTAATTTGTTTATGTAGCATCATGTACATGTGGGCCTAATATATGAATACATGCAATCATTCATTCTGAATGTAGGTCTATCCCAGTGCGAACAAAAACAGCATCGGTGGTCAAATACATAAATGCACGCGCCATGGGAAGACATAGTTGCCTAATACACCCATAAGCTGCGCATCAAGAGAGAACAGTCACAAAGACAGATTCTGACCCGAAAATCTTTTTACACACGGAAGAATGTTGCAATGAAAGAATATTGATTTTGGAGATAAAATTACTGTGTATGAAAATTAGATAAATGGAAAAACGAATTCATAGTACAACAGTACAGTACAACACAGTACATTTCAATAGCACAGTACAACAGCACAGTACAACAGTACAGTAAAACACAGTACAACAGTACAGTACAACAGTACAGTTCAACAGTACAGTACAATAGTACAGTACAACGGCACAGTACAACAGAACTTTGCAATAGTACAGTACAACATCACAGTACAACGGTACAGTACAACAACACAGTACAACCATACAATACAACGACACAGTACAACAGTACAGTACAACGGCACAGTTCAACAATACAGTACACATGTAGAGTACAACAGCACAGTACAATAGTAGAGTACAACAGTGCAGTACAACACAGCACAAGAGTACAGTACAACAGCACAGTACAACAGTACAGAACAGCACAGCACAAGAGTACAGTACAAGAGTACAGTACAACAGTACAGTACAATAGTACAGTAAAACAGTACAGTACAGTACAACAGCACAGTAAAACAGTACAGTACAATAGCACAGTAAAACAGTACAGTACAGTAGAACAGCACAGTAAAACAGTACAGTACAACAGTACAGTACAATAGCACAGAACAATAGTACAGTACAATAGCATAGTACAATAGTACAGTACAACAGCACAGTACAATAGTACAGTACAATAGCACAGTACAACAGCACAGTACAATAGCAAAATACAATGATACAGTACAATAGTAGAGTAAAATAGTACAGTACAACAGCACAGTGCAAAAGCACTTTGCAACAGAACAGTACAACATCACAGTACAACGGTACAGTACAAAGATACAGTACAACGGTGCAGTACAACCGTACAATACAAGGACACAGTACAACAGTAGAGTACAACAGCACATTAAAATAGCACAGTACAATAGCACAGTACAATAGCACAGTACAAGAGCACAGTACAACGGCACATCACAGCAGTGCAGTACAAAAGTACGGTACAACAGTACAGTACAGCATCACAGTACAACGGAACATTTCAACGGTACAGTACAACAGTGCAGTACAACAACACAGTACAACAGTACAGTACGGCAGTACAATACAACGACACAGTACAACAGTACAGTACAACAGCAGAGTACAACAGTACAATACAACGGCATAGGTACAACAGCACAGTACAATAGTAGAGCACAACAGTGCAGTAAAGCAGTACAGCACAACACAGCACAAGAGTACAGTACAAGAGCACAGTACAAAAGTACAGTACAACGGCATAGCACAGCAGTACAACAGTATGGTACAACAGTAAAGTAGAACGGCACAGCACAGCAGTAGAGTACAACAGTACTGTACAGCGACACAGTACAATAGTACAGTACAATAGCACAGTACAATAGTACATTACAACAGTACAGTACAACAGCACAGTACAACAGCACTTTGCAACAGTAGAGTACAACATTACAGTGCAACGGTACAGTACAACGGTACAGTACAACGGTGCAGTACAACAGCACAGTACAACAGTACAGTACAGCAGTACAGTACAACACAGCACAACAGTACAGTACAACCGTACAATACAACGACACAATACAACAGTACAGTACAACAGCACAGTACAACATTACAGTACAGCGGCACAGAACAACAATACAGTACAACAGCACAGTACAACAGCACAGTACAACAGTACAGTACAACCTTACAGTACAACAGTACAGTACAGCAGTACAGTACAACACAGCACAACAGTACAGTACAACAGTACAGTACAATAGTAAAGTACTACAGTCCAGTACAACAGTACAGTACAATAGCAAAGGAAAATAGTACAGTACAACAGTACAGTACAATAGTACAGTACAACAATACAGTACAATAGTACAGTACAACAGCACAGTACAACAGCACAGAATACAGTACAGTACAATAGTACAGTACAACACTACAGTACAACAGTATAGTACACTAGTACAGTACGACAGTACAGTACAACAGCACAGTACAATAGTACAAAACAACAGTACAGTACAATAATACAGTACAATAGTACAGTACAATAGCACAGTACAATAGTACAGTATAACAGTACTGTACAACAGTACAGTACAGTACAATAGCACAGTGCAATAGTACAGTACAGCAGTACAGTACAACAGCAGAGTACAACAGTAGAGTACAACAGTAGAGTACAACAGCAGAGTACAACAGTACAGTACAGTACAACAGTACAGTACAACAGCAGAGTACAACAGTACAGTACAACAGCAGATTACAACAGTACTGCACAACAGCAGAGTACGACAGTACAGTACAACAGCAGAGTACAACAGTACAGTACAACAGCAGCGTACAACAGTACAGTACAACAGCAGAGTACAACAGTACTGCACAACAGCAGAGTACAACAGTACTGCACAACAGCAGAGTACAACAGTACTGCACAACAGCAGATTACAACAGTACTGTACAACAGCAGAGTACAACAGTACAGTACAACAGCAGAGTACAGTAACATATATGTGAAGGTCATTAGTAGCCAGGAATCTCTTTCTTTTATGTACAGCTGAGAATCTATATTTCGTCAAGGCATTGGTAGCACTTGTAGCACGAAAAGAACTAAACAGTTGTATACATTTACTTTCTGATTGATACCTCCAATAATAGTAGGTATATCATGCTGCCTGAGATCATCGTAAAGTGGCCAAACAAGACAAACAAAATACCTTCCTTGTGATATCATGAGTGAGTGAGTGAGTGAGTGAGTGAGTGAGTGAGTGAGTGAGTGAGTGAGGTTTTACGCCGCTTTTTAGCAATATTCCAGCAATATCACAGCGGGGAACACCAGAAATGGGCTCCACACATTGTACCCATGTCGGGAATCGAACCCGGGTCTCCGGCGTGACGAGCGGACGCTTTAACCACTAGGCTACCCGACCGCCCCTTCCATATCATGAACATTCCTGAACATCGACACTGTGTCATCTGAGTCTTCACGCTGTAATATTAACGACTGATAAATAACTTTCAATCCCGGCAATGATCTTAATTGATCTATAAAAATCCAAACTAGTATATCTACAAGAAGACTATTGATACAATTGAGTGTTTATATCTATACAGCTTAATTTGAATTCCGATAAAAAACATCTTATCATATAAGACACACTGACATTTCCAAATATCACCCAAACCACAGCTAAACTCTTTATTTTACTTTATATGCCCAGCAATCCAAACCTTTCTCAGCAAGATGATACTAATATAAATATACATGTCTTGAAACATCATTATCATATTGAGACAATACGTCGTAACCACTATTTAATTATTTCCACATTATGATTAACCATCAGAGAAAATCACCCCTTGCAACAATATAAAGAACAGACCGCCTACTGTGTAAAAGAAACTTAAAGAATTTTTCATAAATATTCAAAATATCTGGTGAAGGATGAAAACCCCAAGATGAAGAAATCCGCATGAAGATCGGTACACACTGTATTACCTTTACGTCCAGACCCGTGAAGATCCGGGGTAGAATATGTCTTCAAAAACCCATGCTTGCCGTAAAAGGTGACTATGCTTGTCGTAAAAGGCGACTAACGGGATCGGGTGGTCAGGCTCGCTGACTAGGTTGATGCATGTCATAGATCCAAATTGCTAGGATCGATGCTCATGATGTCAATCACTGGATTGTCTGGTCCAGACTTGATTATTTACAGACCGCTGTCATATAGCTGGAATATTGCTGAAGGCCTGTTCTACCCCGGAAGTTCGCGGGTTATATCTGCACATACCCAAGTCATACGTCATTGTGTGGTCCAGCTGTTTACAACATAGAAAATGTACTTTCTTCAATGTCTTCAATGTCTTCAACTTTAACTTCCCTGCTTATCGGAGCTCTCTGAAAAAAAACCTGTCTCACTACCCGCTAGGTGGCGCCCCGCAGTAAATAGCATGACACGTAAACTGAACGTATCTAAGTGATTCGGAATATCTCTGTCGGTTTTTCACAGGACCACGGGTGGCCTAGTCGTCTAAGGCGCCGCGATTCGCTGTGCAGAGTTGTGTCCCTTGGACACGCCAGAAAACTATGATTGTGGGTTCGAATCCCGGTTCGTCCTGATTATGTTTCTAGGTTTGTCAGGACCATACCCGTGCTCGTGGGTTTCACCGAAGTGGTAAACGTCTGAGACCTGCATCACTTCGGGCTTTCCTCCCACATTAAGCTGACACGCCGCGATATAACTGGAATACTGTTAATTAAAGTTAAACCCAACTCACTCACTCAACTCAACTCACACATTTTATTCACTTAGGCGACCATGGTTCGAATTCCCTTACGCATACTGTGTTGATGCCACTACATGTTTCAGGTTGAGCATCCATGATGTGGGATTCAGCACGTGGGCCGATAGCTGTAGTAGTTTGTGTCTTCCTCATTTCGCAGTCGTCATGTCGTGAGTTGCCCCGCAATACTAAGAGATTAATGATCACATTATGGTTACGACCCAATATCTGCCAAACCTTCCTTCAACTGCAAACTCTGTTTTAAAGCATATCAAGTATAATTTCTTTAAGTGGCATTTGGAAGTAACTTCTTTATTACAATTAGTGCGACGTCTCGGTGTAGATCCTAACACCTTTATCAAGCAAGTGATCATCATAGAACTTGTCTCACTATATCAAGTATGTTCCGTGTTTTAACAGATCACCCTGATCTAAGCGGTGGAATGACGGGCAACAATTCCTTCACCTTATGCTGTACAAAGATAGGTGGTTGGGGCCTAACGGGTCTGTATTCAGTCTTTTGGTACAGAAATGGTACGCTTGTATTCAAAACACGCAGGCTATTAGGTACACAGATAGTTGACAGTTCATTTCGAAACTCGGTTAAACCACGTCTGTGGTGGAGACGCCACTGTGTGGACGTTTCTAAAGTGGAAGCGGGCATTTCTAAGTGGAGATGCAACAACGACAATGACAAAAGCACTTGGAGTGAAAAATCAATTCAACTGTCCGGTGAGTTTACTACTACTACTACTTCTACTACTACTACTACTACTACTACTACTACTACTACTACTACTGCTACTACCACTTCTACTACTTCTAATACTACAACTTCTATTACTTCTGCTACTACTTCTACCACCACCACTACTACTACTACTACTACTACTATTTCTACTACTATTCAAACTACTACTACTACCACCACTTCTACTACTATTGCTATTTCTGCTACTATAACAACTACTTCTTCTACTACTTCATGTTCGACATCTACTACAACTACAACTACAACTACTACTACTTATAATAATATTTCTACTACTACCTCTACTATTACTACTACTACAACTACAAATATTACTACTACTACTACTACTACTACTACTACTACTACTACTACTACTACTGTCACCACTACTACTACAATTACTTCTACTACTACTACCACTTCTACTACTACTTCCACTACTACCACTACTACTACTACTGCTATCTCTACTACTATTACAACTTTTGCTACTGATACTATTACTACTTCTTCTCCTACTCCTTACTACTACAACTACTACTATTATTCCTACCAATACTACTTCTACTGCTACTATTTCTACTGCTAATTTTACAACTACTTATAATACTACAATTTCCTCCACTACAGCTGCTGCTACTCCTGCTGCTGCTACTACTACTGCTGCTGCTGCTGCTTCTACTACTTCTACTACTACCAACAACCACTAATACTACTACTACTACTTCTACCACTACGACTGCTACTGCTTCTGTTAATACGTCTTCTACTACTACAACGACGACTTCTACTACTACTACTACTACTTTTACTACTACTACTACTGCCCATTTCTGGTGCCCCCCGCCGTGATATTGCTGGAATATTGCTAAAAGCGGTGTTAAACCAAACTCACTCACTCCCTCACTCACTCACTCCCTCACTCACTCCCTCACTCACTCATTCACTCACTCACTATACTACTTAAGGCGACTATGCTTGTCGTAAAAGGCGACTAACGGGATCGGGTGGTCAGGCTCGCTGACTTGGGTGATGTATGTCATCGATGCCAATTGCGTGGATCGATGCTCATGATGTCAATCACTGGATTATCTGGTCCAGACTCGATTATTTACAGACCGCCGTCATATAGCTGGAATATTGCTGAGTGCGGCGTTAAACAAGAAACCAACCAACCAACCAACTTCTACTGCTACTACTACTACTTCTACTGCTACCACTAGTACTACTTCAACTACTATTTATATTACTACTACATCTACTACTACTTCTTCCTCTTCTTCTACTACTACTGTTACTTCTGCTACTACTTCTTCTACTACTACTGTTACTTCTGCTACTACTTCTTCTACTAATACAACTACTACATCTTCATCTTCTTCTTGATTTACTACTACTACTACTACTACTACTACTACTGCTACTACTTCTTGTACTACTACTGTTACTTCTGCTACTACTTCATCTACTAATACAACTACTACATCTACATCTTCGTCTTCTATTACTACTACTACTGCTACTTCTTCTTCTACTACTACTGCTACTTCTTCTACTACTACTACTACTACTACAACTCCTACTACTACAACTACTACTACTACTACTCCTACTGCTACTACTTCTTCTACTACTGTTACTTCTGCTACTAATTCTTCTTCTACTACTACTACTACTACTGCTACTTCTTCTACTACTACTACTACTTCTGCTACTCCTACTGCTACTACTTCTTCTACTACTGTTACTTCTGCTACTAATTCTTCTTCTACTACTACTACTACTACTGCTACTTCTTCTACTACTACTACTACTTCTGCTACTACTACTACAACAACTACTTCTACTACTACTGTTGCTACTGCTACTACTTCTTCTACATCTACTACAACTACCACTACTACTACTACTACCACTTCTACAACTAATACTAATACTACCACTACCACTACTGCTACTTCTACTACTACAACCACTATTACTTCTGCTACTACTTCTACCACCACCATTACTACTACTACTACTACTACTATTTCTACTACTATTCAAACTACTACTACTACCACCACTTCTACTACTATTGCTATTTCTGCTACTATAACAACTACTTCTTCTACTACTTCATGTTCGACATCTACTACAACTACAACTACTACTACTACTTATAATACTATTTCTACTACTACTTCTACTATTACTACTACTACAAATATTGCTACTACTATTTCTGCTACTACTTCTGTCATTACTACTACTACAACTATTTCTACTACTACTACTACTATTACTGCTATTACTACTACTACTACTACCACTTCTACTACTACTCCCACTACTACCACTACTACTACTACTGCTATTTCTACAACTATTACAACTTCTGCTACTGATACTATTACTACTTCTTCTCCTACTCCTTACTACTACAACTACTACTACTATTCCTACCAATACTACTTCTACTGCTACTATTTCTACTGCTAATTTTACAACTACTTATAATACTACAATTTCCTCCACTACAGCTGCTGCTACTCCTGCTGCTGCTACTACTACTGCTGCTGCTGCTGCTTCTACTACTACTACAACTATTACTACTACTACTACTACTACTTCTACTCCTGCTGCTGCTTCTGCTACTACAACTTCTACTACTACCAACAACCACTAATACTACTACTACTACTTCTGCTACTACTTCTACCACTACGACTGCTCCTACTTCTGTTAATACGTCTACTACTACTACTACTACTACTACTACCATTACTAATTCTACTACCAATACTGCTACTACTACTACTATTTCTACTGATAACCTCTACTACTACGACTACTACTACTTCTTCTACTTCTACAACTACTACTTCTATGTCTACTATTACTACTGCTTC